CAATTTAAAGAAGGAGATCAGAAAAAAAAGAAAAAAATTTGAACTTGCTTACTTTATACTTCGTAACATTTGGCAAAAGAACAATACTCTAATGGCAACTTCAACGCAACTGTCCAGATTCTCAAGCAGCGTTTGTTGTAAAATTTTTTATGTTACGATTCGAATTCGAAATCACTGCGTCGCTTCTAAATTATCTTTTGCTAATAATGACCAACACAAGTAATAACCCTTCAAAGAATTAATTTAAAAATTTTGATTTCCATCAGATTCTCGGCACGAAGCTTTAAATTTGACGGTGATATAAATTTATTATTTTTTTTTCTTCAAAAAGATTTTATATTCGTATTGATGTTTTTAATTACATTTAAGGAACATCAAAAATTTTTAAGTGCTTAGGGCCTCTTAGGTTCTTAATCTGGCCCTGGATATAACGTGCATCAGTCACCATTTACTACACGGGGAGTCTACGGCCGACGGGGTCGAACCCCAAGAACCCTCCGACATGAGCCCAGGGCACTACCGACCAGGCAATCCCGGCCTTTAATTCCTTTTATTTCATTTTGGCAAAAAAAAGAAGAAGAAAAACTAGTAGTATATATTATCAAATATATATCAAATACACATCAAAAATTTCTAACGAAATATTATTTAAATTATTGCGTGGTATACTTGTAAATAAATTTTCAAAATCACATGTAAGAAATGACGAAGTGCTGTTTTTGCTGAAATACGTATCTTTTAAACTTCGTTTTTTTTTTGTTTTTTTTTAATTTCTCACTTTTTTATTTAATTGCTTACAGGAAACAAATTTGATTTTAGTTGCTTTTAGCACTTTTCCATTTTTGCTTATTGTTTTAAAGTTTTTATCTTAAAATTTATTTTTAAATCAATTTCATACTTTGATTGGTCAATACGTATTCTAGGAGAGCATGGTGAAATAGTTGGGAAGATTGTGAAACACAATCCCTTGAATGCTTTTGATGGTTATGCAAACAAGGCGGAGTCCAATAAAAAAATTATAACCAATTGTTTTACGCGTGGAGATATGGCGGTCAGATCAGGTAAATATCAATTTTTTTTTTAATTTTTTAAAACAATTAATAAATAAATGCTTAGGTGGATTTGAAAATTAGCTTTTCATCCATTTCATACATGGAAAAATTTTTATGATATTAATTTTTTTTCCATTCCAGTGGCTGGAACACAATTTTCGAATGTTCGAAGTGTAAAAAGTGTTTTATATTTGTTGACACTTCTCCGTTAATTTTTTTTTTTTTTTTTTTTTTTTTTTTTTTTTATTTGTTTCCCAACTTTTCTTCTTAATTTCGATTTTTTTCCATTGTTTTTTTACAGTTTAACTTTTTGCTTGTACAATTTAAAGTGTATAGAGCAGACTTTGAGTTTGCAAAGTTTAAAAATCATTTTCTAATTTTTGTCATTTTTGCAGCATTTTTTAAAGTTTAAATACTTGTTGTGATACGTGTTGTGATTGAAATGTGAAAAAATTTGCTGATGTCCGACATTTCTACGTAAATTTTTGGAATATTTTGTGATATCTTGTGATTATTTTCCTATTGTAACATCATGGACAGCTGACCCCCGAGTTTATTCCTCTCTGGCATCCGGTGTCTCCCTCGAGATTCTGAGAACTCGATGCACGTGTGAAAGGGGAGGAAGACTGGACAGAGACAGGCAGTCTGGTCAGACGATGGATGATGAACGGACCGTCTCAATTGAGAGAGAAAAATTCTCTTTTTATTATTTAATTTAGTGTTCGGTAAAAAGTGACGATAATTGTTTAAATCTGTGTATATAATTGTAATAAAACCTTGTACATCTAAAATTAAACTAGAAAATTTTATTAAAAGATTTGCTTTTTATTATAAGAGTTTTAGTTCAATCTGAACAAAGTAACGAAATCGTATCTTGTGATTATTATTTTTTTTTTAGATTTAAATGCTTTTCTTTCTTGTAATAGATTTTATTATCCCGAAAACAGTATTCATGCATTTAAAGTACAAGAAATATTTTCAGACTTTTAAAAATTCCGTGTCCTTTTTTTAAATTTTATAGTTTTATTAAGGATCATAAAGAATTATATAACTTTGATTATAGAATGGAGAAGCTCGAATAAATAAAAATATTAGATTGAAATTTATTAAATAACATAATAAATGTAAAAATTTCTTCCCTCAAGTAGATCAAAAGGGGGGGTGGTGGAGTTCTATTTCGCCTAAAACGAGAAAAAGTAGGGTGTATCACTTTCGAATCATGTGGAGAAAATGTTCGGTGGTCTAAAAAGTTATATTACGAAAAGGATATTCCATATCTTTCGTTTAATGTCTAACAAAATTTGATAAAAAAGCGAACCCACGAACCAATAAAATATGGATTAAATATTTAATTGTATTTTCAACTGTGTTTTCAATTATTTTTCTTCAAATCGATTTTTTTTTTACCTGATTTTTATCAAAGAATATGATTGTGTATTCAACCATTTTGTCAGGAGAGCTTTTTTAATGTTAATTTCACTTTTTGTGTAATTCATCCAATTTCTAGAGCTTTTTAAGTGAATCTACAACTTTTCGCTCCCAACTGTTAAATTTGTTTATCCAAAGATACTACAACGCAAAATAATTATAATTTACAAATGTTTTAATATTTTTTATTTCAATTAACGATCATGTTTTTTTTTTTTTTTTTTTAATATTTAAGATATACAAATGTGAAACTTTGGGACTATACCGTTGATAGGCAGCACTCGCGAAAATGCGTAAATAGCGCTTTGGCGCCTTCATAATTTTTTTTTCCAATGCCCACCCGGATAATGACCTAGGGCAGCTTTGTTGGCCACTCTTTCAGGGGCACCATATTAGGTGAGCCAACGTTGCTCCCACAGTAGGGGACAGAGAAGGAAAGAACATCCATGCCTTGCCCGGGATTCGAACCCAGAACCTTCCTGACGATTTTCAATTCTCTTAAAAAATTTTCGAGATATGGAGAAGTATGCAAAAAGTAAAATTAACATTAAGGGGTCGAAACTTTGGACGGAAGATGGGAGAAAATTATTCATAAATTAAATAAATGCACCTGAGATTGCTGTTAGCTTTTTCAATTAATAAAGTTTAGATTTAAATACCTTGCTTCGAAATTTTTCAGCGCTGATTCGGATAGGTATTACCCCGCAGTTTTTACGATTTACTATGCAAATTTAATAAATACAATTGAGAAATTAATGAAAAAACATAGTTATATCTAAATAATTATATCAATGTTCTAATTTTTTGGAATGATGGTTAAATATTTGTTTACTGTTCAGGTGACATACTGGTGATGGATGAGGAAGGTTACCTGTATTTCATCGATCGTAGTGGTGATACATTCCGATGGAAAGGTGAAAACGTATCAACCGGAGAAGTCGAAAACATTGTGAGCAAAGTTTTAAACCATTCAGCCTGCGTCGTTTACGGTGTCGAAATTCCAAGTGAGTTCAATTTTTTTTTTATCCATGAAATTTCAGCGTACTTTAAGAGAAAAACGCAATGCGCCTGGGTCACCAATTATCGATCAAAACTAACTGTTGCACCAGCTACAGAACTACTAAAATATACGAAAATCGCGATTAAGAATTTGCTTGTTAAACATCACCCCATTACAACTGTTCTGGCCGAAACTGCACACCCATGTGCTCCAAAACACATGCTTTCAACTTGTTCTACTATTTATTTCACGAGAAATCTGTATGAGAAAAAAAACATAGCCTGTGGTCGTTCGCACATAACTCTTTAAGCAAAGCGGTGAAATGATGTTCCTTTTCCCCATCTTTTCTGTATTTATACAAGAAATTATTAAAAATATCTTCAATTATTCCATTTTTTGCATAAGCAATTCTCAGTAATGAAATACAATATATTTTTGAGGCTCATTTAAATAGTAGAGAAATGTTTTACCGTTAAAAAATTGCAGCAATACAGGGAAGCTAATGATTTTTAACTACCAATAAACTTACAATTCTTGCATATTTACTACTCGTAATATACCGTATTATTTATATGTGAAGAGAACTGCAATAATAAATTAAATGAGGATGATCCGAAGACGTGCCATCTCAATTTTGATCCTCTGCAGAGGGAATGGCTTCCCTGCCTTGGTAACCCGACAACCTTAGCGTAAAGTCGAGCACTTTACTGTAAAACAGTTTAACGAGGACCGATACCGCGCACCCTCAGTCCCTACGCACGCTGACCAAAGTGATCACCCACCCGCTTACTGACAGCAATCAGTGATGCTTGACTTCGGTGTTCTACTGGGAACCTTGTCCTTATGATCAGTACACAATGTGGAACCGCTCTGGTGATCGTCCGAAATATATACTAGGTCTAGTTAAGTGCCACTACCCGATATTCACTTGCCCGGTATACCCTGCACTTTTTTTGAGGCTTAGTGCCACTGCCATGTGTGCATTTGCCCAGTATGTCCTACATCGGTCAAGTGCCACTGCCCAATATGCATTTAACCGGTTCTCCGAGCACTGATATTTCTCCCAAACTATCCCAAGATATTTAAATAGCGAATAAATAAAATAATATCAGCGAATTAAGTACTAATATCTAATCGGATATAACAAATATTTCGGATATTCACCAAACCGACGGTGTGATTGTTGACATTCACCGATTAAAGTCGACATTCGTCTTGATTTCGATCATTCTCGGTAACATAGGGGCAAATTGCCTTTTTGAGATGTAAATGGTACTTGTTAAAAGGCTGTATCATGTGCAATAATTTAAAATACTTTTACAAAGGTGTAATCACATTTACTGAAGTTTTTAATGAAGTATGAGAGTTGTATTAAAGATACCTCAGTTGTATTTACATATATGTATATACGTTGTATTTGCAGACAATGATGGCAGAGCGGGAATGGCTGCTGTCCAAATGAAAGCCAACGATATCAATTGCAGTGATTTATACCTAAATTTGAAGAAGAAACTACCGTCATATGCCTTACCTATGTTCATCCGGGTATGTGACGATTTAGAATTAACTGGTAAGCATTAGATTTTCTTTTCTTTCTATGAAACTAAAAAACTGCTGCGTAGTATCTCTTCGAATTTTGAAAAATCCAGAGGATTGTGTTAAGAAACGCTCTATAGCAAATTAACACCAAGTTATAAGCGTTCGTATACATCTTAAAAAGAGTTGTCTTATCTAAACTCCCATAACTAAATCGTCACGCATTCTCATCATTTGTGAATTGTTTTCCCTGCCGAAAGCACCAAATTTGGCATACTTCAGATAGGTTGTTTACAATCGAGTGCGAGATGGCATGATTTTTTTGTTCTCTTACGTACTGCTAAATGTCTATTGAAACAAATGGCCTTTTCAGCATGTTTTTATTTGTGTAATAAAGATAGTTAAATTTTAATTTATAAATATATGTCATGTCAACTGTATAAAAGTACTTTATAGTACTTAATTTCTATTCGATTCTGTTAAGCATATTTTTAATTCAAATTCACCTTCATTTAAATTATTATTATTTAGTGAAGCTGACGTTCGTGTGAACGGTAGTTCGAATCCAGCCGACCCCTTCTAATAAATGGTGCAAGTTAAATCTATCGGGTCACAAAGTCCTCCATGTTCGCAAACAGATTATAGCTCTAGGGGTACTGCATTGGAGATGAATCACTCTCTGGTTCAGGTCAAAATTACGATGTATGAATGGGTCCGCCCTATTAAAAGAGTATGACGTATATTATATTATATTATATCCGTCTTTGAACAGCCGACCCAATTTTAGGTTTACGACTATTAATGTTCAACTTCGTAGCCTTGTCATTTTGAACCAATCCAGAAGACAAGGAAACTTCATGGATTAGTACCCCTAGATGTACTGATTTGTTATGGGAACATGGAGAACTTTGCGACTCGACATATTTAACGTGTATCAGTCACCATTTACTACACTGGGAGTCTTTGGCCGGCGGGGATCGAACCCAAGAACTCTTGGACACGAGCCCAGTGCCCTACCAACCAGACTACCCCGGCCTTTTATTAGGTGTGATAGAAGTCGAACCCTTGGCCATATATGACGCCAATGGAAAGTAAGAAAATAGCACCCCTTGCCTTAATTGCACCGCCAACAACAGCAATATTTAATGACTATCTATTTGAACTTGTTTTACTTTAATAATTTGTTTTTCTTCTTAAAACCAGGTACCTATAAGCTGAGGAAAGTATCTTTGCAAAAGGAAGGTTACAATCCAGAGAATGTATCAGATGCGTTGTACTTCATCGATCATAAACAAAAGTCTTATGTTCCTCTCACCAGAGATAGGCACGAAGACATCATTAGTGGGAGAGTCAGACTGTGATAATTTGTAATCTTCCCTCTGGCATCAAATCAATAAACATTTTTTTTATATAACTTTTGTTTGTCTACTTTAACTTCAATTGGATGACACATTTTTTAAAACTTCGTTTCTATTGGTTGACAGATTGTTAGGGTAGGGCGTCCCTCAGTGGACTGATCGTAAACTGGAACGCCGAAGTTAAGCATCACTGGCTGCTGTCAATGAGTGGGTGGGTGACCACTTTGAATTAGCCTGCTTAGGGACCGTGGGTGCTCGGTATCGGTCCTCGTTTAACAGCTCTACCGTAAAGTACCGGCTTCGCGCGCACGTCATCTGGCTACAAAAGCAGGGGGACTATCCCCTCTTCAGAGGATCAAAATTGCGACGACATGCCTTTGGATCATCCTCAGGGGGATGTTTCCCAGACCGGCACCAATAGCCCATTATGCAGCTGTAGTGCGACGTAAATAAAGTACCTACAAGGGCTACATCACTATCCATCCTCGGAAGTTCCTACCTGAGTTTAACCCCATAATTATCTGCAGGTGTCGGAATATTATATATA